TTGTTGTTGTTGTTGTTGTTGTTGTTGTTGTTGTTGTTGTTGTTATTGTTATTGTTATTATTGTTATTATTAAGTTGCTTTGAAAATATCTTATTGGAGCATCATAATATAAATTAAATAACTATATTTAAGAAGAGATTTATCCAACAGTATTTTTTCCATGAATGCACAATTTTGTCATATGATTGTGAAATCTATGTCTCTAGCCATCTCAGAAACAGTCTAGACATTCTTGGTTTAAAAAGCAGTTTGATTTGCCTTAAACAGCACCTGGAGATCTGGTTAGGGCCTTTTGTGCTTACAAAGGATACCTTTAAGCTATAAAAGTAGGAGAACTATATTTTTAAATGACACACATTCAATTCTCTTTAAAGTGGTGACATGGGAAAACCAGAATGGTAGAATTTCACTCTTTCTAGCTAAGTTGAAGTTACCACAGTTCAAAGAAAAAGATTTGAAAAAGAGACTCCAGCAAATACCATTGCATTTTTACCTACCACAGTCCCACATTATATCAGCCAATGGCTTTGAGAAGCAAAGCAAAGAACAGGGTATCAAAAACCAGTAGAGAAAAGCAGAGAAGGAAGAAAAAAGGACTCTCAAGAGGAAGGACTAACAGTATGGTATATCACACCGCATCACCCTTAGTTACAGCACATCCAAATTGCTTACACAGATTTTACTTTTAACTATTTTGCCATATACTTTCTTCACTGAAACTGATGTTTTACAAAGAGACAGCAGATGAGTGATCTGTGAAAAGCTTTCGACTTTTTTCATTATTCATGAACTGCAGGTAGATCAAGTGATTTGAAAAACAAAAGGATAGGACCAAATCCAACCCTCCAAGTCTCTAATTTTATTACATTTTGACATTCGGTGGAGATAGTAAACCTATAGAGTTTGGCAAGATTGTAAGTTGTCTGAAAAACATTAGATTAAATCATTAAAAATAACAACAGCATCTAATTTTAAGCTGGCCACTACTATATATTCTATAGTGTTCTGCCTTCCAAAACATTTCACTTGGATTTTATTTTAATGGTTTACAACAGTCTCTCCATATATGTACAGTATGCTATTCTTGAACTACAGCTCCAATTTGTAATCCTATATTTGCTTTGTTTTTAAACTCAGACAAGACAGAATACATTTTCAAGGCTAAAAGAATTGTTTCTTAATTTCAGTTTCTATGCTCATTGATTTCAAATTGATTACACCTCAATATGTTTATTTTAAAGAGATATTTTTGCAACTGAGGACCATCTTGTACTTACAAAAAAAGGGAGAGTATAATCAAGTATCAATCATTGCTCCTCAGTGAAATTATCTGTATGATTCATATATCCTGTAAGATCTTAAAGATCAAAAAATATCTAACTACATGAACGTCCACTTACACTCCATCAGCTACAATAAGATATCTTGCTGGGGATCCTAGCAAACTACTAGTAGGCACCAATATATCAATGGACATGTTTCGTAGAAGCCTATCTATCCAAGAAGGTTGGGAGAGTGTTGAGCATCCTAAAGGTAATGGGGAAGACTGGGAACAATATGCCTATGCCTTCTACTGGTGGAGATGCCTCCCTGTATTTTTATATGACACATGTTAGTTATTTTTTGGGTTTATTTGGGCGTGGTGCCTATATGTTTGCTTTGTTTTTGTGTGTCTCTGTGTGATTACCCACTGTGTGATTAAGAGAGGGGGTTTTACTAGGGGGATGTTTTTGAACACTACCAGTTTGTCTTCTGAGGAATAGATAATCTGCTGTGTTCCTGTGGTATCAATTATGTCATTTGACATTTGGAACTGAAACACATTTCTTCCTTCTGCTCAGTTTCTCAATCATATTGTTTCTGAGATTCATCAGACTGCCTTCTATGAAATTTATTTATTTATTTAAAATACTGTTATCCCGCCTTTTTCCTTAAAAAGGACCCATGGTGGCTTACAGAATTAAATAACCCCATTCATAGTAAAGTTAATAACAGTGAGTATATAAATGCTAAAAAAAGAAGGAATGCTAAAAAGGATCAAACAAATACCACACTAAAAAAAAGTAAGCAAAAGCAAAACCAAAATACATTCAAAGCAGTAGAGTACAACAATCCATGTAAAAAAAAACCCATTCACACAGCCAGTCACTCAGGGAGAGCGTCCCTGAAGAGAAAGATCATCGCTTGCCTGCAAAAAAACAAAAAATGGTAGGTCCAGCCTGCCGCCCAGTGGGAGGAGAAAACCGTGAATTTAACAGAGTGAGTTTCTGTTTTGGAACTCTGCCCCCACTTTTCACTTGTGTTTGAGTGAGGTTACAAAAGAAAATAACCTATCCAATAACTTTTGGCTTCCTGGATGTTGTGTTCTGTAACAGTCAATATCTATCATAGCAATTATTTTATAAATAGGCAAGTCTCTTTCCTGGCACTATGTTATGAGATCCCATGGCAGGCTTTCAAAATCCTAGATATGCTCACAACATCTAAAATGTTGTAGATTCTTGTTTCAGGAGAATAAATAGATTGGTCTTTATGCAAAAATCCCAACAAGATATGGCCCTAGATTTATTTTGTAGTTTTATATCTCCAGATTCTGTACAAGCTTATATTCTAAAATGTCTAACTGAAATACAATGAAAAATAAGTGAATGTTTCAGAAGATCAGAATGTGTGCATTGTTTATTGACTGAACGTATATATGCTATCCTATCTTTAAAAAGTTCTCAGTACCTATGTCAAAGCTGACCTAATCAAGATAGGTGTAATTATATGAGTGCTGAATTAGATGAACCAGCTTCTAGTCATCTATAGAGTCTTTTAATCTCTAATTAAGATGAGATCTAAAGTTGTAGTTGTTAAGAGCAAAATGATGCAGAAGTTCTGTAACTGCAAATATTGGGTATTTGAGATAAATTAATATGCAAACTTCATCAGATAAATTCTGGAGGATATTGATGAATTACCATCAAATTAGACTTAATACAGTAGTTTTAAAGATAATATGATGACCTAGAAGTCAATTTCCAGCGAATTTGCAAGTTATTAGAAAATGAGTAGAGTTAAACATGAACACACCGTATTATAAGGACATGTAAAATGACTATACATTTCCATTCTAAATATTTTATAGCTATTCCTTTTTGAATAATGAAACTACACAGCACAATGAATGATGGTCAAAACTACTATTTTGAAGGCACTATATCTGTATAATATGCAAAATTACTAGTATAAATATAGAGTTGTGCATATATGATGGGAAGAAATGACTGCAATAAATCGGGTATAATACAGAAAAAAATGATATTTGCAGATCACAAAAAGGAGATGACCCTGGTTTCTCTTCTTTCTAATGAGACTCCAACTATCTTTGCTACAGTTATCATTTACACAGTTATCATTTACATACAAGATGCTTTTGCTATACAGTACTTTTAATTTACATGGAGAATCAAGAACACCCCATCTGTTTTGCATATGTGAATTATTTAAGGCAAAATTTTAAGACAATTAAACTGCTGCTACCTCAATGTCCTTAAATCCCAGAGTTTGATGCCATCACCAATAGCTGTTGTTAAGAAAAGATTGTAAGCATCACTAGGCTGACTGCTAAAAGCTGATCCCTGTAAGAGAAAACATTATTTTAATATTGCTATATATTTGAGTAACATCACAATTAATGAAAGCACACAGTAACAGTTTCATTACATAAAGTATAGTAGCAGAGACAAACTTTCAAACATTGATACATTGAGTAGTATATAACATAACAAAATAGTATAAATTATTATAAAAATTGAATCAAGAGTTTAATATAAATAAAACCAAATCCACAAGGCAACTTTAGACAAAAATATCCATAAAGAAATCCATAAAAATTTCAGCATTAGAACTAGCACCAGTCACTCCGACTCAGCATGGAATGTGTTCTATAAAGCAAAATTTTACTCGCTGCCAAAATGCAGGAAGCTGGCTATGAAAAAAGATTACATAGCAAAGAGTTATAGATCGTGGCACCATCAAGAAGATGTAACATGTTGTTTTTAGTAGCACTTGGAATTATTTGATTTACTGTGATTGTAATTTTCTGTTAAATTTCATCTTTAAAAGTATAAGATAAATTTAAAAGGCATTTTAAAAAACATACATGGATGTTACCACGGCACATTAAAGTAACATTGAGATAACATTTTTTGCATGTCATGCTAAGTTACTCTTTCTTCTAAACAATATAATTAAACACATGACAGGCAACAGAAAGAAAGAGCAGTGGGACAAGTGTTTCTACTAGACATGGGACGAATAAAAAATAAATTGTGATATTTGTTAAAAATCGCTGATTCATTAAATATTCATGCCTTCATATTTGTGAGTTCCAGAAACCTGAATGAACATGAAGGGATGAATATCTGTCCATTTTTATTTGTTCCTGTGGCCTTCCCATTCTGCCTATGGGCCTGCTGATCAGCTGATCGGTGGTCCGATAGGCAGCCAGGCAGATAGCCAGATAGGCAGCAAGGCAGCCCCACAGCTGATCCCCCACCCCCTTCCCCTCTCTACCTTAGCTGCCACCGCCATCTGCCACCACCCAGCACCACCATCATCCATTGCCACTTGCTGCTGCTTCTATCCATCACCACCCGCTGTGGTGGCCTCCGCAGTCACGGCCTGCCGTAAGGGACACTGGCTGCCCTTTGCAAAGATAGCAGCTTCAGCTTCTTTTAGGGTAGTGAAGCTGCAGCCGCGACATTTGCAAAGGCCAGTCCAGATTGGCGCAGCTAATAAATAAATAAATAAATAAATAAATAAATAAATAAATTAACTAACTAACTAACTAACTAACTAACTAACTAACTAACTAACTAACTAACTAACTAACTAACTAACTAACTAACTAAAATAATTGTGCTCCCCACCACCAGCAGGACCTTCTGGAGAGCTCTTCTTCTCATTGTCCTCCTTTCCAGAACTGCATTGATCCTTGTGTTGGGACTTTACCTCTTCCTCTTATTAACACAGATTCAATAAATCCACCCCATATATCATAAAAAATCTTTCTTTATCTCTCCTTTATTAACCTTTAGAATACGTCAATTTATCATATACAGCAAGGTTCTAAAGTTCATTGTACCATTCTTCCAGTTGAAATTCATGTTTAGATTTTTAATTCCTAGCTATGATTAATTTTGCAGCAAACAATAAATTAGTAAGCAATTCTCTAGTTGTAAAATCATAATCTACAGTAACAAATATTGATAACAAGGCCATTTCTGGATTCAACTTTATATCTCTATCAAAAATATCTCTTAAATCCTTAGTAATTAGCTTCCAAAATTTCGTACCCTCTCACACTCCCACCACAAGTGAAAATATGTGCCAATTTCATTACCACATTTCCAACAAACATTTGAATATTTAGTATTTACTCAATTTAACGGTGTTAAGTACCATATTTTTCTGTGCATATGGACCCTCAATGTATACAACAACTCCCTAATTTTGCCCCTTGCCAGAGGCAGAGGAGCAGTCAATGGGCAGCCGTGAGGGATTGCTTCGCCTCCATCTCCTGCTGCCTCCGCCGCCCAATCACACCGCTACCTTGTCTCCTGCCCGATGGAAGCCCGCAAGTGGCACTGGAGGAAGCAATCCAACAGTGGAGGCAGGAGCAGCAGGAGGAGGTGGAGATGGAGGCAAAGGAGCAGCTGCACTCAGCCGCCTGTCACTGCTGCCAATTGACTGCTGCCGCCACTGCCAGACCGCCTCCTCCAGTGCCACTCGCAGGCTCCCTTCAGGCAGGGGACAAGGTGGTGACTTGACCTGGAGGTGAGCCCTGGCAGGAGGAGGAGGAGGCAATCTGGTGGTGGCAGCAGCAGTCAATGGGCAGCCGTGTACAAAACAACTCTCAATTTTTCCTCTAATGGTTTTAGGGAAAAGTGTCACTGTACCTTCTTAAACTATTTTATAGAAATGTTCTTTTATTCTCATTGACATACATCATAATACAGTATCCTCATTATCCATATCATTTCCCAGACTCCTTGTTTTATTTCTTTTTTAAACTCTTGCCCCCATACTTGTTTCAATCCTTCACTTTCAGTCTCATCTTCCTCTAACTCCAGAATTATTTTATATGTTTTACTTACTACACCTTTCACTAAATCATCCTTTTGAATATTTTCATTGGTTAAAAGGAATTGTTCATGTTTTGCATATTCTCTACATTTATTATTATTCTTAATCTACTGTGTTTGTTTGTTTTTTTTTTAAAGACAGCCCTGGAGAACCAACAAATCCATTTGTGGTTCATCGGTTCATGGGGAGGAGATTTGTGCTCCATGGTTCATCAACTCTGATGGATCATGAAGCAGGACGAATCATCACTTTGGTGGTTCGTCCCCATCTCTAGTTTCTACATTTGCCACTGCTTTTCAATTTGAACAAGGAGTTCAAATTGTTACAGCTAATGATTCAAGGTAGATTTATTGGAAAAAGAAATGCAGGAAGAAGGATTTATTGACTAAAACCTTGAAGACTGGTTTGGATGCAACAGAACATCACTGTTTAGAGCTCTCACATCCAAAGTCAGAATATCCATGATGATGTCCAACCTCTAGTAAGAGAAGAACCACAAAAGAAGAGGAAAACAGCACAGTTATTGCTAAACAATTGTTCTTAAAGGGCTGGTATCAAATATGATCGGCTCAAAATTACCTACAGATTAGCAGGATTCTAGGCTTTAGTATAATAAATTTTTCCTCTCTTCTGTGGTGTAAATAAAAAAGTTACAGGGCCTTGCCAAGCAGCCTCCAGAATTATTTTCATAACTGCATACAACTAGAATAACCCCAGCAACATATATATATGTTGCTAATCAAATACTTATAGTGGCTAATCCATATAACAACAGAAGAAAGTGGCTAGATGCCAAATTTCTTCAATCAAATTGAAATGGATACATTTCTCAGAAAATAGACGGCCATTTACCTCTTTTTTTGTTAAAATTGTCTAAAAGCAGTTTTTTAAATCCTTTTAATCTGAAGAAATTTGCTGGAGTGCAGCCATTGTCATTTACCACAAAGCATTTTAGTTTAAAGTGTAATGTCTGTTACAAAACAGCAAAGGTTGATTTAGGACTGCAATCTTCAGTTTTCCATAAAAACAAGTTTTTCTCCTCATCTGAATGTGTGTTCACAGCTTCAAAATATGCTCTGCTTAAGTAACTTGAAGTCACTTTGCTGACAGAGCAAAAATAAAAGCCAGAAAAAATAAAAGCATCAATGTATTACAAATAATATGACAGGAGTTTAGTAAAGTTAAGTGTTATACCAGACCAGTCTCTCAGAAAACCACAAAAACCTATGCTAAAGTCATTGTACGGAACTGCTTTAAAACCACAAAAGAAAAGGCACTCAGAACTAAGGATGGATTCCTGTCTATAGCCTAACCAATGAACTTAAGCACAGCAGGAAGACAGAACTGGGCACAAGGAATGACTATAATATCCCAAGGTCCCTGTAATCCTTAAAACACTGGTGTATATTGCTGAAACAATTCAGAGGATTAGATAAAATTCAACTCAGTATTAACTGTTTAGTAAAATTTATCAGTATGGCTAAAAACGTCTTGAAGTACAAGGTTCAGCTGCAGTCTATTGACACATGAGAAGTTAATGAACAGAATCCTGTTCATTTCTTCTACTGGTACAGTGGTTCACTTCATGAGTGGTTATACAGTTTCTGAACTTGTGCAAGGTATTCCTCTGTGCAAGCACAAGGACCACTGCATAAGCAGAAGGATTCTGAACAGGATTCTTTTCAGGGAATTTATTTGCCAAGATGTATTGTTGTTTGCCTGTGAAGATCTGCTGCTTTTGCCATGTTCTTCTGTCCTCCTTTGCCTCGTACAGCATGCAGTTCACCACACCAATATAATCAACGCACACAGCTTTTCTTGCTTATTCAGTTTCTTTTCTATAAGAGGCTGTTTTTGGATTACAAAATGAGGTAGCCATTTGGGGAACAGCACATTTTTAAATAAAGACCAATAGCTTAGCAGAACTGAAAACCAGATAGAGTAAGTGGGGAGAAACAAGTCTTCCAGTCTGGGAACTTTCTTCTCTTGTGCAGTGGTGCAGCTAGGGCTGGAACGCAGACCTAAATGAGGCCCTTGAAGGAAGACAGACTCCAAATGTCCACACGGAAAGTAGCAAGTGATGGAGGCAGCAGGAAACAGTTTTGGTGTCAGAATCTGTTAGAGAATGAGGCTGCTGTGGCCAATGCTGGTCACTACCAGATCCAGGCTGTCATCAGGCTTATATCTGAAATAATCTAAGACTGTAACTCCAACTGTCCAGAGAAGCTTAAATACATTATTCAAAGGTATACCCCAAAGATCACAAAATCTGGCAGCAAGCATTAATGAAATGTCAATGGCCAAAGCCAGCTTCCATGGGAAAGCCAGCAGCCCCATGCTGATCCGCTGGTTCCATGATGATCTCGTCATTGTCGTTTAGTAGTGTCCGACTCTTCGTGACCCCATCGACCAGAGCACGCCAGGCCCTCCTATCTTCCACTGCTTCCCGTAGTTGTGTCAATTTCATGCATCATTAGCTCTGGAGCTACTTGTCCTTGTCCTCTGCTCTTCCTCAGTAGCATGTTGGACGCCTTTTGACCTGAGGGGCCCATTTTCCAGCGTCATATCTTTTAGCCTTTTGTTTCTGATCATGGGGCATTCTTGGCAAAGATACTGGAGTGGCATTGTCATTTCCTACTCCAGGTGGATTGCATTTAGTCGGAACTCTCCACTATGTCCTGTCCGTCTTGGGTGGCCCTGCACGGCATGGCCCATAGCTTCTCTGAGTTACTCAAGCCCCTTTGCCACAAGGCAGCAATCCATGAAGGGGCTTTTAACTAGAGATGGGCACAAACCACTGGCGCATGGGAGGAGGTGGGGCTGGGAGTCACCGAACATCTCTGTTCATCCAAAGGACAAAGCAGCACAAACTGCTAAACTGGTGATTTGTGCCCATCTCTGCTTTTAACCAATATTGTGATCTCAGCATGAGAGCTTGGGAATAAGCTTAACTGAAGCCAATACAGTTTTCTTACATTAAATGTACTGAGTAAAAGAACATAAATAGAATCACAGAATTTTAGCTGGAAAGGATCCCAGGGATCATTGTATCCAGCTATATCTGCAACTTATGCAATACTGACAGGTGGCCATCCAACTGCCACTTTAAAACTTCCAAAGAAGAAGAATCCACCACCTCTTGAGGCAGTCTGTTCCACTGTCAAACAACTCTTATTGTCAGAAAACTAATCCTAATGTAATCACCTCATTTGTAATTTGGATCCATTACTTCAAGTCCTACCCTCTGGAGCTAGAAAAAACTTGATCTTTCACATAACAGTCCTTCAAATATTTGAAAGCAGCTATCCTCAGTGTCTTCTCTTCTGCAAATGAAGCATCACTAATTCTCTCACTGTTTACATACTAATGTGATGCACACAGCACCTGGATATTGAACACCATGTATGACACGTCTAAGTCTAAATGCAGTGGCTGAAATCCAAAGACGTGTACGTGCATAAATTCATACACCAAGAATGCATGTGTTCAGATGTATATGTTTCTTTGTTTTTTAAAGAAAATTATTTACAAATAATACTACACACAAAGAAAAACAAATCACAGTATTTCCATACATATCTTTGAGGGGAAAAACACTCACAAACAAGTTACATTATACTGTACTGTAATGACCACCCAAAGCAATGGTCCCACTAAGTCAGGTGGAATAAAGTGTTAACAATAAATTAAAAATGAACAATACATACCTTGTTGTACTACTTTTGGATTATTTGTAAAGTGTGGCTCCTGATGTACAGAAAACCATATTTTAAGAAAACGCTTCCTTGATTTGTTGTCTTGTGATCAATTTATGACCATTACACAGGATCTTAAGTCTAACAAAACCTGCACCATCTCAATATTTCAATTGCCCATCTTTGTCAGGATGATTAAAAAATGGATGCAAAAGAAACGAAACGAGTGGAGATACAGAGAGTGCCAACTTAGGCATCCATTTATTCCACTCCCTGAGAGTTGTCTTAAGAAACAGATTAGTTATTTTCAAGATGACATACTTAGACTTCAGCACAAGAATGCCCCTTCTAGATGTGTATCATCGAGTTCAATTTCTACCCCTAGAAGTAAGGGGTTAATCCCAATGCTAGATGTGTCAAAAATGTCACCAATCATATTAATGGCAAAGAACAATCAATTTAGGCTGTACACTCCTCCCATTGATACTCAGTACAAGCAATATTGCTATTTTTCCAAAAGTGTATGGGTAAATCATTATGCCATAACATTATGCACATCTCTTGTTTTTGAGTTATCTGAGGGTAAAACCTCTGATAAAGCAGACATGAAATTACCCAACTCAAAAATGCTGATTCCATCGAGTCCAAGAAGATTAAAAAGCACATAACTGTGCTACACTGCAAACTGCAACAGATAGGCTAATAGTGAACTCATTCTCAAAGTGCCTTTCCTCATGTAGCCAAAGCAGTACCATTCATACACAAAAGGCAAGTATCAGTAGGCTTGGGGTAACTCAAGGCTTTCAGAAATATAAATATATATTCTAAGGGTAAATAAGGGCTGTAGGGACGCAAAACAACACCAGTATATTATGACCATGTATACATTGCTAACTTCTGGTTGTTATGATAGGGAGAAGATGTGGGGTGGAAAGGAGATGGAATAAAATATCTGAAATAAAGCCAACAGGATAGCTGATACCCTGAAAAAAAGCACTATACATCGCAAGATTTTCTTGGCAATTTTTGGAAATTAAAGACTTGCCCTAAGTCCTGCAGGCCCCAACTGCTTCCCTGTGACAAATGGGCAATTTTTTATTTCTGAAAAAAACTGCTGTGGTTGATGACATCATCAACCTTATATAGTATAGTTGCGTGAATAGTATGATGATTCTATGGCCCAAATTCTAATGTTAATTAGTATTAACAGAAAAATAATAGAAGATCTTATGCCTACCTTGTTTTGGCAGATTTGGTGAACCGATCGTGAATGAACATCAGTTATCACTGCTGCACTATATCCCACATTGAGGTCAAATACTTCCAGTGCTCGATTACTACCAGCTGCCAGTACAATATCTGTTACGTCGGTAAGTTAAAGTTCTGGTAAAGTTCACCAGTTCTGAGTTACAAGACCTGCAGCAAATACTTATGAACATGTATGTATATACACATTTTTTTATTTGTAGGGGGAAATCCATGTTATATTCAAATAATCTGAATTAGGGTCAAACTCCAATTACTTCCCATTTGTTTTAATAGGGAAAGTAAACCATCAACAGTCAAACATGTTAACATTAAATATCAATGAAAGTCAATTAAATTATTTGCTAAACAAAAGAAGCAGTCTTCATCTGGGCCTTTTTAAGACACTGAGGGCCTTAATGTGACAGAATGTTCTTTTGAGGCCCCTTCCCACTGCTTTTTTCTAATAGCATCTTTTGCCAGTGTTGTTTTATCCCACCAGCTAGGGAAATCAAATATAACACTTCCAAAAACACCTATATTTGACGTCAGAATGTTAAGATTTGAGGATTAAATCAGAACCCAGACTTAACCAAAGTCCAGTGTTGATGGTGGCACAGCGACTTTGGTTCCCTCACAGTGGCTGGGTGGAAAATGATGTCCGCCAAGTGGACCATGTGAAAGGGATTATGGGAAAGTCCACACTGGACCCAGGAGCGTGGGCCAGCCCTGCACTGACTGGTGTGCAGGCGGAGGCAGGGGCTCCCTACTGGTGGACCAGAAGGGATGGGTTTCCTCTCCAGTCCATCAGTGCGGCATAAGGGGCGTGCCAAGGCCAAGAGCCTCAGTCTCGTCAGTGTGCTGTCCCCCATCCCACCCACCTTGGATTTAGCATTAGTCTGGGGCATATGCAGGTTGCTGGGGCATGTTTTGTTTCATGCTCATTGTTGTTGGTGCTTAGATTTGTTGTTTCACTTGTCACAATTTTATGGCATTTTTGGGCATTGGGATGGATCCAAACGGTTGTTAGGGCAGCAGGCGGGGACTTGCATACCCAGGTAGGGGAGAAACCCCCACAGGGGAACTGAGGCAGGGCTGGGATCTACCACAGCTTGGGAGGGGGAAATTGCCCATGCTCCTGTTGGCAGTGGAGTCACGGAGTGGCTTATGTCTGTGTCGTCTCCAGACAGAACTGCCATCCCAAGTGGTCTCTCAGGGAGACATTGGTCTGTATTGGGGGGACACGTGGGTCCACCGATGAGCTGGATCTGACCCAATGCTTAGCCAGAATAACTGCTGCTGTAATCAATAAAGTTGTGGCCTTGTTATCCCAATTATGGTGCGCATGTCAGTCATTCAGAAACCCAGCTGGCTCAGCAATAGCCCATCAGAAAGAAAATATATACAGGAAAGAACTGCAATTATGTAAGGAACTAATGACAATTTTGAAAAGGCAAATGCTTCTAACTAAAATACTTGTAGTAATAATTGGTAAGAGGATACAAGAATAGAATTCATTTACAGCTGAAAGGCTGGAAATTTCCACAGTAGACGCCATGGGAAATTTCTGTATGGATTTGCAAATGCTCTTACGTCTGTATCTGCAGGAACAATATAAACGACACCAAATCATTAAAAAAAATAAACAATTTGTAGAAAGCAAAAGCAAGTATATTGTAGTATGCTCTTACTCCTTGAAGTTCTCGAAAACATCAGATTTAAGTTTTCATTTGTAAATATCTTTTTACATAAATATACTGGATGTTTTTAGCTTAACGTTTAAGGCAGCTATTTGTGTAATTACAGTGAGCATACTGAAGTACAGCTTTCACTTATCACCACACCCACTTCTACTTATGAAATGTGACTTCTCTCTCCATTCCCTCCTATGGTTCCCTGATCAGCTGCAGAACCTCCCAAAAATAATATTTGCATAAGGGAGATATGTTCTGCTCTGCTAGGAGATTATTTTTTTACAATTTAACATTTGTGCAATACTATTTCTATCTAATTTCAATTCTTTCCAGTCTCTTGGCTTTAGCTGTTGAACTCTGAGGCAAGCTAACTAGTCTTTTTCCTATAGATTTCAAACTCTGTCCTCTGGTTTGTTGTTAGAAAATGGGGAGAAAGCCGAATTTCTCTTCTAAGTAGCAATAATGCAGTCAGGGAGATCAGACACTGGAATGTTTCCACAAAGACCCTGATAAGAAGAGAAAACAGCTGTTGTTGCAAAAGAACTCTTCTAAACTCGAAGCACAGCAGCTAAAGGCAGATTCAAGGCCGAACGATCAAGGATCTTATCTGAATGGCATTAGCCTTGACTACACCCATGTTTTTCTCTGACATTATGGGGATTTCAGTCTGGATAAGAATTCCAGTACGGCGTATAGGAGTCTAACTCTTTGCTCTGCACTGCAATTCCCAGTCTGAATAAACTGTTTGCAATGTGCACTGGAAAAAGGTCTCATTTATTTCAATTAGATCTTCTTCCATAAGGCAAATTCCAGAGATAGGCTCTCCTATACAGAACAAACACTCAGCAGGCACAAGCGGCGAAAGGCCTGATGATGATATGGGCCCGATTTGGATAAGATCTGCTATGTGGGAAGTTACAAGGGTTGTAATCAGAGGAAGAGCTATGCAGTTAAGGCTGCCTGTAGTTTTCTGTGCTCCTCATACATGCATGTTCATCATTCGATGAACACAGAAAACGTAATGTGGGAAAGAGTCACTGCAGATCAAACACCAGGATTTTTATGCATTTAAATTAGAAAAGAAAAAAATGAGCTGTGTGGACTGCATTACCATTTCTGTCTAATTAAGCAATGTAACACACATCTGATGTTTCTGTCTAGAGTTCTACTGAATTAGGAGAAAAGAATCACACTAGAGTATATAAGCAAATTATATGAAGAAAGCCACAAATAAAATTTCAAGGCAAATTATAGTACTGTACCTTGTTTTTAAATCAAAATTCACATTGTTATAATTCAGAGGTGTTCAAAACATTTCCTCTGCTTTATACTGTTATTATTTTTTATATGCAGGACTGAATGAAATTCAGTAAAGCAATTAAATATAGGTTATGAAATTAGTTGTCAAGCATATGATAGGAAAATAAGTTATATAAAATAAGCCAAATAAAATGGAACCTGAATTTTACAACACAGAGATCACGTACAAGGTGTCAGCAGGTATGCCTGACAAGAACACTGGAATACACATCTTAAAAGGTGAAGATGATGTAATGTCTCTGACAACCAATTGGACAGTGATAATATATATAGACACTGTGTAATGATTTCTTCTCTTGGCTAATGGAAATTGTTGTGGACTGTAATGCTGTTGCTGCTGCATATATATATTTGTAAATAGACTTAGTTGCTAGAAGTCTATTGTCTCTGCCTGATTTTCTTGACTACTGTACTGGGACTAGAACAAAGAGCTTCTGGAACAGATGCTGCTAAAAACTGCACCACTCTGACAAAATATTCTGCTGATCACTGCAAATATGATCCAGCCATGTTAAGCATTTTAAACCCTCACTAATGTGGAGAGAATTAACTTGCCATTACATTTCTTAATATTTGATAGTGCCCTAAATTATTAGCACATGTATATAATTTCTTTGTTTTATCTGGATTATAATTAACAATCCCACATTAATTAGTCCATTAATGTATCTGTCAGACTACATCCTATGTGTGTTTAACTATCAGTGCACCCAATTCAAGTCAGTAGGATTTACTTCTGAGTAAACATGCATAAGACTGCAGCAGGGATCTTGTAGCCCTAGAAATAATATAAAATAATAAAATAATACTTTAGCTGAATAAGCAGTCACAGTCAGAGTATTGTGGAGTAATTTTAGAATTAAATTTGTTATATAATTAGATACAACAAAACACAATGAAATCTAACGAGATGCTATCTTCACATTTGTGATATTCCTAATTTTTATTTTCTAATGCATGACAACAAGAATATTTAATATTAATCCTAGACATCTTTATTCTGAACTAAATACATCTTGCTTCATCTGCATTGTCCCAACTTACTACACAAAGGATTGCAGTCTTTATTATTCCTACATAAGCACATTAGTATTCCTGCATAACCTCCTCTTTGGTCATTCTAGTTAGATGTCTAGTTTATTTAAAACCTGTAACACTTGCACTTAAAATTTGTAAGAATCGCATGCAATGGTGCCATTCTGCCAGTAGAAAGTTTCTCCTGCTTGCAGAATTCCTATTTTCATTCTTATAGATCTAAGTCAATACTTTGATTCTGCTTGCACACAGACATTCACAGTTCATTAAAATTTCTTCCCACAGAGTATTCTGATTTTCTCAATGGCCCCAGTTTGTGGATCTCCATGTTTTCCATCTTCTGGTAGACAAAGATCCTTTTATTCACATAGGTGTTCTTGATGTATGTTAAGGAAGAGGATCTTCACAGTGGGACAGTTTGGGCGGGGCTAACTGTGCTTTTAAATTGTGTTGAATTTGTTTGTTGTTTTAATGTGTTTACCTGTTTGTGTTTTAATATTAAAATAACTTACTGTGTATCTGCTTTTTTCTTATGTTGTTAACCACCCTGCATCTCAGCCTTGGAAGGAAAATGGTATATACATAAAATTAACAAGCAAATAAATAAAACCATCATCAGAACATGCAACCATTAGCAGAAAATCCCTTTTTCTTTTTCAGCTAGCATAACCTTCAGTATAATCTTTTATTTTTACTTACCGTTTAATCTCATCCTTGCTGGTGTCAAGGTGATATCTCAACAAGTAAAACTCTGCTCCACAAGACAATAAAATAAATGCATCTATATAATAAAACTGGGCCGATCTGATAGGTTTGTGAAAAATTTCCTTCCCCTGAAATTAAAAAATCTAATTAATACAATGAATATAATTTAGTTTTTCAGACAACTTGTTTATTCACAGAATAGTCATTGTAACAGGTCATCATAATTGCAAATCTTGATTCACATTATATTTTTCTTCATTACTGTTTAATATACCTGTTCTCAACAGTAGTAGTATAAAGGGGAGCTGATTCCTCGAACACTAACAGACCCCACACCACCACCACCCATTAATCCTGAAATCTGCATCAGACAACTGGGAAACTATTTGAGTATATTTGAGAGAGACGGGACAGCCTGCGTAAACAAAAGGAACATGCGGTCATACAAGTGGACTTCCAATCATACGTCCTTGGATTTTTATTCTTTGTCTGACTCATTCTACAGGATATGATATTTCAAACACATCTAATAAGTGTGATTTGGGGCTGCAGTTGGCAGAAGTACTCCCAGATCTACCCAACTTCCCATGAGCCAATTATTACCAGATATAAAACAGGTTCTGCACTCCGGACTGACCAGATCCTCAATGTTCTATCTTCAGAAGATGAAACCAGCCAGTTGGTGTCATGGCTCCAACCAACTGAATTAACAGCACCATCATGCCCTTATAGAAAAGAGAGCAAAAAAATAAAAAAGAAAATACATTTTTAATCACACACCCATCAATAATTCAGACATTTTTTTCCAGAAACATTTTTTGAAGATAGAATACATTTATTTCCAAGAATGTAAACAAATGTATTTAGGCCCAACCAGGACCAAATCAACAGTTGTATCCTGATTCATTTTTACCTATCCATAAAGGAGGTTGGTACAGATTTCCTATGTCTAATCACAGCTATAGAAAATACAGGGGAAGTTATGGTGGCCATAGAACACATTTCTAAAC